GGCACAAGGAACTGTGTTAGGATGGCTAGTTATGAAAACAAGAGCCACGCGTAGTTCGCGAACTATTAATGGCCACACAGCTACAGTATAATTGAATTGATAATTGGAGAAATTTCGGAAGATTGAAGAAGTAATTAAGACTAGTATTGGGTCGCACGAGGAAAATTTGTGCAAAGCGCATTATAGAAGCAACACGCGACGGGATGATATAGGCAGATATAGTGAGACTGCTATTCAAGGAAGAGAATCAGTTAGACGAGTCGTACGCGAGCGCGTTGCGAAGATTAAACGCGTTAGAGCGATCATTATCGCGCAAGCCGGAAATAAGAAATGAATACATTAAATTCTTATCCGAATATGAAGAACTAGGTCACATGACAAGAATAGAAGGGGGACCCCACGAAGATAGATTCTATATACCGCATCATGCTGTATTAAAGCATACTAGTCTTACGACCAAATTGCGAGAAGTGTTCGACGCGTCGGCAAAAACCAGCAACGGGAAATCTTTGAATAACGTACAGGAAGATCTGTTTACACTTTTAGTAAGATCTAGATAACGCGCTATCGCTATTACCGTGGACATCGCGAAGATGTATCGGCAGAAAATAATGGACCAGCGCGATCGCAAATACCAAACTATACTTTGGCGTCGACAGGAAAGTGAGCCCGTGAAAGCATTATAGATTAAATACAGCAACTTATGGAACCGCCTCCGCGTCGTTCTTAGCAACCTGTATTTTACATCAACTCGCGAGCGACGAATTTCACCGATTCCCGAGAGCTGCCATCGTTTTTAAAGAAGATTTCTATGTAGAAGACTTGTTAACCGGAGCGCGTACAGTTAGGGAAGCAAAGCGAGTCCGCGACGAATTAATAAGGATAACCGCAGAGGCAGGCATACATTTTTGGCAATGGGCGTTAAATTGCGCCGAGATTCTAAAGGACTTAGATACCACAGATAATAACATCGTAAATTTAGATTCGTCAGGCACAGTAAAAACATTAGGTGTTAATTGGAAACGCGGTCGAATATAAAATAGGGTATAAGGTAAAGCGAACGGCTAATCAATCGAAGGTCACTAAGCGCGTTATATTGTCCGAAATTTCGCAGTTATTCGACCCGCAAGGTTTATTAAGACCGGTAGTAATCAAAGCGAAAATGATGATGCAACRGCTATGGCAATTAAAATCAACGTGGGACGAAGATGTCCAAGCCGATTTATATAAAATATGGCAAGAGTTTCGCCAAAATCTCCACACGTTCCAGGAGATAAGATTCGCGTGTAGCGTAACGTGCAACGGAAAAGCATTGGAAATGCACGACTTTTACGACGCGAGCGTTAAGAACTTTTGGGCGCATTAATACTCCCATGATTTGTTAAAGCGACTAAAAACGCTTTGCGTGGACTTATGGAACGCTATGCTAAATATTCGGACATATATTTCGACAGCACGACTAATTTTGTTGATTCTGCGAAAGAATTAGAGGCTCGCGTGTTCGCGAAGCTTAGTTAATGAAAGATTTAAGTGACATTTTATCCTTCCCCGCTACCTCATTTTGGCGGTCTATTGAAGGCGGCAAGAAAATCTTTTAAGTACCATCTAGTTAGTCTAGCTAGAATTGTTAACGAAGCAATGTTATCGTGTGAGGCATTATTAATTTACGTCCTCGAGATAGAGGCTATTCTAAACTTGCGTCTTATCACCCATCAGTCTAATGATTTAAACGACTTGCGTGCTCTTACACCTGGTCATTTTTTAATTGGATATTATTTTCCAAGTCCGCCAAAGGACGCGTACAGGGATGTATCATCTAGGTGTCTATCGTAATAGCAGAACGTTCAGCGGGTGAAACAGCTGTTCTGGAAATGATGGAATAAGGAATATTTGAAAGAGCAAACGCCACTAGGACGTGTCACAARGATACATGCGAGAGCTGACGGAATAAAACACAAGGCAACCGCGAAACCTGCCAACGGTCTTGTAAAGCGCGGTATTAAACGTCTTTCTTCTTTGCCGAACGATTTATAAAAAAAAAAAAAAAAAAACTCTGGTTATTTAGTAGAGTTAATTTTGAATATGTATTATAATATGCGATTAGCAGTGTATTTATATGTTTTATAATTTGTATTTTATTGTGTGTGTATCTTTTTAAATTTTGAACGGTGCCCGTTTAAGGGGGTGGGGGTATGTTGCGTATTATACGCAACGAGTGAGTAGGGCGAAGCGCCGGGGCGTGTACGGCCCTGCCGAGACGTGAGACACACTCGACAAAGCAGTGTCTTTGTTTTTGGTGGTAGCCACGGTAGCGCTAAGATGCTTG